CAGCTGTGCTGATAAAGATAAGTCAATTATGGTACTACTGCTATATGGATAACTGTATCTCCAACAATAAGGTTGTAAAGCTGAAAAACTTTTGAAGCTATACATTTTACTAACTATATAATTAGGATTTCACAAAAATATTAGCTTTATGATTAATAACTCAGTCATGAAAAAAATTCATTAAATTTATGAAATTATCAGCAATCAAATATGTTATAATAATATTAACATTACCTTTGTTTCCAGTGCCACTTGTTGTAGAGTCTATTTTTTGCCCTATAGATTAAAGTACAGGTAAATTTGCTGAATATAGTTCCTCGTACTTTTAGCTGGTTCCTTTCCTTCTGATGAATCTCCTTCTGATAAATCTCCTTTTTGTTTTAGTGCTAATAGTCCTAAAATAGAGTGAAGAGTTGAATATTTGAAATGGCATATATATTCTTCCAAGTAACAATTCATCACTTCAATTTCATTGTTACAATACTTTCACTTTTACCATTGCATCAACGTGCAAGCCGTGCATGCAAAAGATAAAAAATCATAAAAACTGCCGCCATCTTGAAGAATCCACCTGAATCCTACATATAGGCTACTGCTAATAATAATAATAACTAATATGCAATTATGCTTGGCTCAATGATGTTGTTATAATGAGAATAATGATGTGGTCCTTGTTATACACTTACTTATATAGTCAGCTTGAGCTTTACACTCATTCATTTTGTCAAGAGCATCAGCCAGTGTATTCAAAGATGGTTTACCAACATCATCAACACCATCAGCTCTGTTCAGCCACTTTACAAGACATTGCCTAAAACAACTGTTAACATCACCTCTTTGATTTGCGTCGATTGCAGCCAGTGTATTGTCACTCAGTCCAAGTTTGTCTCCTAATTCCCGCCATCTAGTTTTGTTAAATGCTGCCTTCTCTAACCAGTGTATCACATTGGTGAACTCTGCAATGTCCAGTACTAAAGTAATAAATTTAGTACAAACTTATTTAGCATGACAAGTGGTAGATAGGTCTATATAGGAATCAAACACACTTGTAAGCTACATAAAAAAACATTCACAGCAACTCTTAATGGTGTGCTATATCAGTGTAGGCACTCTTTGGAGTGTTCACTGATTGTTATAAACAATGCTTGCACATGGTTTTGTGTCTCATCAGCTCAAGTATATTATACTATTGTCACATCTTTTACATGAATTTGTTGCTGTCCTGATTACAGCAATAGTACAAAAAGCATCACACGAGTAGAATTATACAACCATCAACTATCTACATATAGTCAAGCACTTACTTTCTGACATGTTATTCAGTTGTAAAGAGAACAGTCAAAAAGGTTTAGAATGAAGCTCTGTTACTGAACACTGTCAACAACTTCTAATGTGAGCAGATAGACACTACTGGTATATATCCCTTACTATCTGATTGCTATCAAAACTGATAGCTTCCTGTGTTTAACTAACCTAACGAAGAGTTTAGTAGTATATGATTTACTCATTCACCTTTCCATACCTTGTGTACTGGAACAAACCTTATACTGCCCTTCCCCTATCCTGTTGTTACTTGAAATGATAGCAATTATTTACTAGCTCCTGGCACCTCTGCCAAAAGAATATGCCAATCATTTCAACTCATAATAATTACTTAAAATTGTAATATGCTATTATCATTATTAAAGGGTAATATTATAAAGGGTTTTTAATTTTTCAGGTATCCTATAATCTTCTGTTCCCTCCACAGCGTCTATCAAAGTCTACCATGTTCTACTAGTTGCATTATCTTCACCCTCTAGCCATGCTTCTATAGTCTTCATGCTTATAATTATGCATCGCCA